CTGCCAGGACTCAACAACGGATGCCTCTGTGCCCCTTAATAAAGTCGAGTCATTGCAGAACCATCTTGACCAATTATGCAGCCCGCATAGCGGCGAGACATTCATATCTGAAGACTTTTTTGCAGATCAGAATGTGCATTTAGGGGAGGTGCTGCGTGTAAACAGCTTTACATTATTTTGTGCTGCTCATCAAGCTTCTTAATGAACACATTGTGTGGCTCCATAGAAAAAATTCTTTGCTCACCTACGAGAGGGGTCTGCCTTGCTCACGCTGCCTCCAGTGCCTGGGGGATGCCTGTCTGACCCCTGAGGCACTCAGTAGCTACCCGTGGATCCAACGCAAGAGGCTCAGAGGAAATGAAGTGAACTTCCGCCACACAGAACAAGTCCTGTTTACCTCCACCTGGTAGAGAAGCCCATACTGTCACTTCTGGACCATCCTGTATCTCAGGAAGAATAGAGTCAATGCGTCCAGGCCAAGGGGCTTCCACCCCAGCACAGGAGGGGGAGACAGAAGCCACCTGCACACTAAGCTGCTACTCCCAAAGGCCTTTCAGGAGCTACGCATTACACTCTCGGCAGCTCTGAACCTGGCCCTTGGGGTATTTGGGGCAGTGACTATGGAGCCCAGCCTCAAGGTTTGCCATGGAACAGGCTTAAGTTGCCCTGTTAGCTCTCATGTGTGACCCTGAGCTGTGGCTGCCTCCCTAAGCTGCCACCTTCCTGCACCATGTGGATCAGCAAGATTCACTTGCACGATTATGGGTTTGAAAGGAGACCATCCCTGGAAGTGGCTGCCCAGGAAGGTGGATATTTTGGAAGCCCTACCAGCTGAGAAGAACTGCAGACTCTAAGACAGGTTTATCAGGATCTTCCAGCCCCAGGGCCAAGGGGCCCCATCCCTCAGGCCCTTCTGCCTCCCTCTGGGTATTAATAAATCCAGAAAACTCTTATCTCTTCCTTATTTGCAGGCTGGAAATTCTGGTCTTTACTCCTCTTTCTTCTGGCCTAGGTCTCTCAAGCCTGAGTAAAGTTTTTTTTTT